CCTTTTGCCTCACTAGTGCTGGGATGAAAGGCATGCATCACTAAGCCTGGCTGCTCTATTAACAAAGGGGTGTGGTTATTCTTGGGAAATCTCAGGTTAGAGTTTGTTGTTTGATTCTCTACTGGCGACCTCTCTGGCCTCACAGTTCTGCAAACGAGAGCTGGGAGCCCCTCATGTCCCAGTGACAGAGTCAGGACTGAGTGGACAAGAGAAGTTCATACTTGAGAAGCAAGCTTGAGAATAAGAGACAAACTCACTGACTCTGAGTCTTAGATAAAATGTTGAAAAAGAGTTGAGGTCTAGCCAGGCAGGGGTGCACACACCATTAATCGCAGCACTCGGGAGGCAGAGGCAGGTGGATCTCAATGAGCTAGAGGCCATCCTGGTCTACAAAGCGAGTTCCAGAGCAGCCAGGGCTGTTACACAGAGAAACCCTGTCTTCAAAAACCAAACAACAACAACAACAACAACAGCTCAAAAAACAAACAAACAAAAAAAAGAGTTGAGGTCCTTTAAAGGTAAATTTGATGGGCCCTATTCAACAACCAAATACAAGTCTGATTAATGTTAAATTTGCTAAAGGAGGATTTTAAGAAATGATGTTGCAAGCTCGGTGGTGGTGGCACATGTCTTTAACCTCAGCACGTAGGAGGCAGAGGCAGGAGGATCTCTGGGTTCAAGGCCAGCCTGGTCTACAGAGCGAGTCCCAGGACAGCCAGGGCTACACAGAGAAACCCTTTCTTGAAAAACAACAAAAAACTAGGGTGCTTTTTAGCTTGCTGGGCATTGTGACTCCCGGGTCATTTTAGCTACTGCTAGATATAATGTGTACTTTAAAAACTACTTATTTAGCTAAGGACAGTGGTACATGCCTCCAATCCCAGGACTTTGGAGGCAGGGGCAGGTGGATGTTTGTGAGTGGGAGGCCAGCCTGGTGGCCTGCATAGTAAGATCCTCTCAATAAACAAAAAACAGGAAAAAACTTATTTACTTCTTTTTTTTCCCTTGGGTTTTTGTTTTTGTTTTCTTTTCCAGACAAGGTGCTCAGTCTGGGTCTGAAGTAGTAAATCCTCCTGTTTCAGCCTTCAGGAAGCCCGAGGTTACAAAAGCATGTCACCATGTCCATCTCGAACATGAACAAACTCTTTATAATCTTCCTTTCCTTTATAATAGAACGAATGCAAAAGAAAAACAATATTCCTTTCCTTTATAATAGAAAGAAAGAATGAAAAAGGAAAACAATAACCCCAGGAGAATGAAGTAAGGTTTGAACCTAACGCACCCTAATTTCTAGCTAGCTTTGTTGTGTGTACTGTTTTCAAATCTTTCTCTTATGGATGCCTGAGAACAAAACAGAAAAAGCAACAACCATAGATGCAATCATGACTGACTTAGGATTTTAATTTGCACTTTCAAAACATTCAGTCAAAGTGGGTATGATGTTTTAAAAGAAAATGGACCCTAAAGGGATTGGCACTATTAGGAAGTGTGGTCTTTCTTGTTGGAGGAAGTGCGATACTTTGTAGGTAGGCTTTGAGGTTTTCTATGCTCAGGCTACTTACTCCCAGTTTCACAGACCACTTCCTGTTAGCTGCAAGATTTAGGATTCTCAGCTGCTTCTCCAGCACGATGTCTCCATGCCTGCCTTCATATCTCACCATGATGATAATGGACTAAACCTCTGAACTGTAAGTGAGCTCCAATTAAACGTTTTCCTTTATAAGAGTTGTGTGGTCATGGTGTCTCTTCACAGCAACAGAAACCCCAACTAAAACAGGCGTGGTACCCATAATCTCAGTGAGGCAGGAGAATGGCCAGCCTAAGGTACATAGTAAGACTTTGTCTCAAAAAAACAAAACAAAACAAAACAAAAAAACCACCACCACCACCAACAGCAACAACAACAAAACCCAACAAATAACAACACCAAAAAAAAAAAAAAGAAAAAAGAAAAGAAAAGAGAAAGGAATAAAAAAGAGACAAAGAGGAAAATCTGGGTTTAGTTGCTCCCCAGGGAATGTTCAGCAACCTGTGGAAACATTTTAGCTATCACAACAATGTATCTGGTGAGTGGAAGTCAGGGGTGCTGAGCAATGCCCAGGCTGGCTCCTCCTCCCCAGGGCCTGCTCCAGCCTCAGGATTGCCCAGGATTAAATCAAAGATTCTAGGAAGATCATGTATCCCTGCCTGCCTCGACCTAAGTCCAGGATGATCTTGGCTGTCTGAGTCCTTTGCCTCACCGAGGAGAGACAAGTACTATCTATCCAAGTTAATGAAGTGATTGAAATTTTTTTCTTTTTAATTTTAGTTTCTCCTTTTACTACATGGATGTATTAAATTCCCCTTCTGGAACTTTCATTTAGGATTTTAACATTCTTTTCAGGTGCCGGACACCTCACTCAACCTTGAAGCCTCTCCACAGAGGCCCCCGGGGAAGAGGAAAAGCTCTGGTGATTGATGTCAGCGACCCACGGAGGGAAGAGCAGGACCGGGTCTCTCGAGACAACCCAGGAACTAATTTCTCTTAATCAGTTAGTTGTAGGGCCCCAGGAGGAGCCACAAGGCGTGAGGGGAAATAAATCTGAAGGAGAAAACCAAATTCTGCGAGGAGCTGGAAAGACCTGTATTTAAAAAAGGGCATGCACCATACCTTAGGACTTCAGAGATGGCGGGCTTCCTCCCTACGCAGCTATTAATATGCAAAAAATGCCTTCATAAATACTTGATTCTGCGCTCAGTGGGGAGGCCGTTCATTTGAAAGGGGAAATGGGAGCTTGGAGTTGAAACACGTCCGCTTGTCTCTTTTTTCTCTCTCTTTTTTTTTTCATTGCTTTTTTCATCTCCACACTACCCTTGTAGCTCCCCCCCCCCCCCCCCCCATTTCTCAGACTTAACCCCCTCCTCTAACTCCACGGAAGCTGCTGATGGCAGCTGCGGCACTGATTTGACGGATGCACTTGGCACTGAGGCCCTGAACCTCGGGCTGGGTGTGGTAGGGATTTCTCGGCACCTCTTCCTGGGGTCTCCCCACCCTTTCTGCTCTGGCCCTGGCGAGGCAGCTGCTGAAGACTTAGAGCGTAGGTTTTCAATGCTGCCGGGAGGGGGCGCCCGAGGCAGCCCTCAGACCCCGGGGACATTGGTGCACTTGGCCAGCGACGCCAGGCTTTCTCTCCTTCACACTCCCCAGTCTAGGCCTGTGGCTTGGGGCGGCTGTATCCCAAAGGTCCCACCTTTGGGGATGCTCAGCCAGCACTATGACTTTTTTTTTTTTTTTAAAGTATTTTGTGTGGGAGATCTTATGATATGGCCAGACCCTGACGATGGAGGGAGGAGATGAGTCAGGGAGGGATTAATGGAAAAGAAAGAAGGGCTTGATTTTTGCTGCTGCTGCTGCGAGCCGACTTTGTGCTTCAGTTGCAAGAAAAGGCCCTAGCAGAGGCAGGGAAGCCACGACTTGCTTGGGCCCTTGGCCCGTCAAGGTAGGACACTGAAGTCTGCTGGGTAGAAATTTGTTTCTAAATCCTTCCCAGATGCTTTATAGTAAACATGAAATTAGTCACTTATGTGGAGTAGGCTGAGGAAGTAGTTAAAATCCGAGGCAGTGATTAACCTAATAAATGGCCGCTAGCCTCAAGAAGTAAGGGGGGGGGGGGAGGGGTGAGAGGACTTTTTTTCTTGGCTTGGGGGCTGGTGGGGCTCCCTAGACTTTTCTTCATATGGCTTCTCCTTCCCGGGCGTCTTTTTAAGGAAAGAAGGCCACGGTCATGCCAACAAGCCAAGGAGCTCAGAAGGGAAAAGTAGGCACAGTACAGTCTCAGTTTGTGAACTTGCCAAGGCCTTGCAAGAGGAACCAGAGTTGGAGCTTAAAGACCCAAAATCTATGTTCAGCCTGACTGCAAGGTTTGTAATTTAGTTCAGTTGTTAATTGGACACGGCTGGGCCACTCTTTGCAGGCACTATTGGCCTCCTCCAGAACAGCCCTAGGCCGCATGAGTTTGGACCGCGCTGGGAGTAGTGGTGGGAATTGTATGGCCTTTGGAGCTGAGGGATTATCAAAATATATTGTGTTTTCTTAGTTACAGCTTTCTATTATTGCTATTGTTATTACTTAAGGTCTTCATATTCCCTATGAAGAGTGTCTTCAATGGAGGCATACACATACGCACACATACATGCACACACACATACACACGCACACGCACACATACGCACGCACACATACGCGCGCACACACGCAACACACACATGCACACGTGCACACACGCAAGACACATGCACACAAACGCATGCACACACACGCACACACACGCGCGCACACACACGCACGTTATTTCTGGGCTTCCTCAGTAGCAGAGAGATGGTCTAATTGTGCTTTACTTCAGGGCTTGGCATTTGCTGTCTTCCTTTATCCTCCATGTAACTTGTTGAAACAGTCCCATCCATTCAGCTAGGCTGGCTTCCCAGGGAGCTCCAGGGGAAGCTCCTGCCTGTCTCCTCACCTCCCACAGTGCTGGGATTACAGATATAGCCACTGTGCCTGCCAGGGTGCCAGGGCTTTTTATGTAAGGCCTGGGGATCTGAACTCAGACCCTCATGACTGCACGGCAGGTGCTTTACCAAGGGAGCCTTCTCCCCAGCTCCTAGCCTTGATGCTTTAAAAACAACGAATAACAGCAGACGTGATCGCTGTTCTCTGCCCACTTGGAAGGAAAATGTCGCCCTTCTGCTTGTTGCTGTGTTCTTGTTCCCCTTCTAACTTCGCAGAAGTCTGGGAAGAGTCTGCTTTGCTTCTTCACACCCACAAAGGACCACACAATAGAACCCAAGCTTGAGAGTCAAGGAACCCAGTGACGTAACGCCTTACTTGTTCATTTTACTGATGAGACAAATGAGGCCCGGAGAGATAAGAGTCTCATTTAGGGTCACATAGCAAGTCAGGACAAGAACCCCGGACAAGTCTCAACTCCCTGGGTTGCGCTCACTCAGAGTTAATACTGTACCTGCTTCTCTGTTGCTTGAGTCAGAGGTGAGGAGGTTTCATAAGGAGTTCGATGAAGATTGGCTCTGGATTTGGTGTTTGCTAAGGGGAGAGTCAGAGAGAAAGGGAGGTCAAGGTGTCAGATCTAGGTCTCATGAACTTTCGTACGAACCGTATGATAGCCATACACGCTTAGCTCATGTGCATTTAAGATTATAAGCACACACCTACGGCATTACCTATACCCCACAGTCTCTGCAGACACGTCTAAACACCTAATTGAGGGGGGGCTAAGCTTTATATTCAAAGTTGGATTTTCTTCTTTGGATTGGTATTTTAAAAAAAGAAAAAGTAGATGTTTTTGTGCTCTTGGAATTCAGATAAAAGCTGAAATTTAAAAGGAAATATTGATGTAAAAAAACTGCTGATGCTGTTGAATATAAATTTTGTATGATCACACTTTACTGAAGTGGGAAAAGGCTCTGAAAGATTCCAGGAAGAGAGCCGAGATTTCCCTGCTTCTCAGTGTGGAGTGAGGCAGTGCAGCAAAGGGAGACAAAAGTCAGTGTGGCTGTGGGCGTGATGGCACTCTCCACAGTAAAGTGTCACTCCTCTCCTCTCCTCTCCTCTCCTCTCCTCTCCTCTCCTCTCCTCTCCTCTCCCTTCCCTTCCTTTCCTTCTTCCTTCCTTCCTTCCTTCCTTCCTTCCTTCTCCTTCCTTCCTTCCTCTCTCTCTCTCTCTCTCTCTCTCTCTCTCTTTCTTTCTTTCTTTCTTTTTTGAGACCGGGTTTCTCTGTGTAACTCTGACTGCTCTGTAAGCCAGGCTGGCCTCAAACTCAGAGATCTGCCTGCCTCTGACTACTGAGTTCTAGGATTAAAGACGTGAGCCACCACCACCTAGCCAGTATTTATTTTTTATAGGCTCATCTTTTTCTGTGGTTCCTCAGTTTTTTTTTTTTTTTTTTTTACTTCTTCCTGATTTGTTTGAGGATGACTTCTGCATAAACTTAAAACACATTTTTAGTCTAAATCAGTTTGGGGAAACTGAGGTTCAGAGGATAGGTTTGTGTGGGGTCAAGCCTCCACTTTAAAATAGCTCGGCCAGGAGCTAGAGGCTAGGTGTCCTGAGCTGTGTCTTGTGCTTGCCACATCCTAGCTGCCTGGCCAGGGTCCATCCTCCAGACACAGCCACCCAGCAGAACTGTGTCATGATGAGGTTCACTTCACAGTGGCTCAGAAAGAACCCTGGGCTTTTCAGAAAAGAAATGTATAAATCCTAATGCATAAGGGAAGTTCTTGCAATAGCGGGGGAATGAGTCAGTCAGCCAGAGTTCAAGAAATGTAAACACATCTCTAGATAGGAGACTGAAAAATCTCTTAGGACTTCTCAGCTCTTGGGTCAAGACCTTGGTAATTTACTGAGGTCCACGCTGTCAAGGAGGAGCTGAGGCTCCAGCTGCATTCCTGGGAGATAAAGCAATGGGGGTGGTAAAACTCCCTTCTGGAGCAACGTGGGGAGATCTACCTCTTGTGCGACCCAGGCCACTGGCTGTCAACCTAGGGTGGGGACTTCTTCCTGTTTCAGGAGCTGGTGTGCACAACCAAAGACCTCACACCACTTCAGCACTTCCGGGCCGCCTGAAGCTGCTCGGGCCTTTCTGTGATGAACAGGTCTGCCGCTATTGAGATAACAGAAAACACATCCCTGGCGGCCCACCAACCAGACTGATCAGATTTTCGAATGCTCCCATTAATCTAGCCGTGGGCTTTTAGCGAGGAGATAGCATTCCCATTAGATAACCAGGCTATTCAGAGGTGACCCTGCCTAGAGGGATTTTAGCCTCAACCCTTCTGCCTTCCTCAAATCATGGCATTCTTCACCAAACACTCAAACCCTGAAAGGCGGAGCGAGATACTGATTCTAGCATGGAGTTCGGCTCCTTTAATTTTTCCTTCTATTTAAATCTGCGTTGACAATGTTTAATTCCCAAATTGCTGTTTTAAATAAAAGTGAAATACAATTATATTTACTCCTGCTTGTTTTCCGGAGAGGGGGGAAACTCTGATGGGACCCATCTGGTGGCGGGACAGAAACCTAACTCCAAGGAGCTGCCTTATCAGGACAGGTGGGCCACCTGGCTCCTTCTGCAAGTCAGGGCTTGGTAAACACTGGCCCGGCAGGCTCTGAAATGGCCAAATGTTCTGTGGTTACCGGGGCAGGAGCTGTTGGAGGTGCTGGCAGGAGCCTCTTGAAATCTGTTCAGGGCTTTTTTCCCACACACCATTTCTCAACAGCGCACCCTTTGATCACTGGGGTGCTGTCACAGAGTTTCCTTCCTAGTCTTCCGTGTCATCGTCAGGCAGGCGATACATCTGCCACACAGAGACCTCAAGTGCTGTGGCCTCCTCACAGCTTCGTGCAGAGCCTCGCTGGCCCCAACAGGAACCATTAAGAGACTCCCCCCCCCCGCCCCCCTTTCACATCAGCCCTGGTACCTTCAAGGTTTTGTGTTTTGATCATAAATGGGAAAATGCAAATGCAAATTCCAGATTATTAAAAAAAAAATTCTTCCCAGGGTAAACTTAACTATAAAAGGAAGGAGACTGCCATGCCAGTGACCTTTCCTTAAAAATATCTAAAAATATTTTATATGCTGTGACTCAAGATGCTTATGACCTATGGAGTGTTATAATAAATCTCAAGTCTGTTTGTTGAATGCAAAGAGACCAAGCCCCGAGCCGGCCTGTTGGGGATGCCATTATCAGATTCTTAGGATGAGATTTAAGGCTTTGTTTATGATACACATTTTCCTTTTAAATCTTCCTGACTGAGAAGGAGGGTGAGATAGTCATATTAAACCATTGCTAGGGACCCAAGAAGGCCTCCAGGCGAAAGACATACCCCTGGGAGGTCCAGCTAAGGAGCCTGTCTAGAAAATATGAGTCAGTCCGGATTTAAATATGGACAAGCCTTGCAAATGTGAGAGCGGTATTTTTCTTACAATTTGGGATATCAGTTCTTCTATTTACATACCTTTCCTGGGCCTAGCTCAGTCTCTAGGGTCCAGCTTTTGGTTTGGAGAATATACACTTCTTCTAAGGGTTCATCGTTTTTGTTTTTAGGGAGAAGTCCAGAGGTTCATGGCAGTTTACCAACCCTAAAATGGAAATTAAGCTGCCGCACTGTGGAATTTAAATTTCAATTTTGTGGCAATAAATATCAATGACTTAAGAGACCCTCCAGTGAAGACTTGTCATAAGGTTCATAAATGAGCAAGTCTTTGGTTGTTGTGGATGGCCCATTTCTCGCTCTGCCTTTCCCTCCTCTCCGTGCGCCTGCCGTTCAGGCATTACAAGTTGCTCATCCTTCTCTCTCATTCGGCTATGTTCCCTAACTCTCCAGAGGTCTCTTTCCCTCTAGAGTCCTTTCTTTTCCATTTGGCTAGTTCCTACACATATCTGTAGAAACTCTGCTGTGGGTGTTTTTCTTTCCTTCCCAAAGCAACAGCCCCCATACTTCATAACTCATACTCAGCAATCATTCTATCATTAAGGCATGGCTCTCAGCTGTGTTATTGGGCCTGGCGTGGTATTTGTGGCTAGCAGACGGTCATGTGGTGTTGGCTGAATTAATGAATGAGCAATTTCTTTGTGTCTTGTAAAACAACCTTTACTATTCTTTCTGTTGAACATGTTCCAGTGTTGGTGCTTACACTGACTTCCAAGTGAAGAGTTGTGGGGAGACCAACCTGTGGACACAGCGTGTGAAGAAAGCAGGAGAAGCTCAGAGGCCTGAAGCAATCTCTCACGCTTCAGGAGCACAGATTCCCCGAGGGCCACAGAACGGGAGGGACTCTGTGGATGACTGGCTAACGGAGTTCTAGCCTTTAGCTATTGTGGCGAAAGAAAAAGCTAATGTTCTGAGCTCTATTTTAGGGGAAATTATCTTCTCTTAAAAATCCATGCGAGCCTTAAAACCTAGCGTTGTTGTCCTCTGCATGGGCCCTCGTCCCTGTGTCCGCGGTGCTGCTGCCGCAGCAATCCCAGGTTCTGGGCAGGATGCATGCTGAGGCTTTCCTGAGGCCTCTGTGCTCTCACAAGTATCACGATGCGGCAAAACTGACGTAGAACGAGGGAGCCTTTTCAGTCTGTCAGGGAGTCTACAAGTGAAGAGCTAGCTACGGTACTGTGTAGAACTATACTTCCTATTTTTCATTTTTTGTTCTTGGAAAAGAATTATTAAACTGTTAGATCACTTTTTCTTATTTCCATCACCAATCCCAGCAATTTTAGGGCTATGAATATATATACCATATATTATATTATAGACCATGAATTTTATATATATTACATATATATATATATGAAATTGTATTTTCATATTTATTGCTAGGTGAGTATTCTACCAACCTATCTATAGCCACAGCTTATTCCTGACTTTTTTTTAATAGTCTGCTTAAAAAAAAATTGTCGTTCAATGTGTCTCTGACTTGTTTTATTTTTATCGTCGTTCAACATGTCCCTGGCTTTTGAAGACATTTTCAAAGAGTTGAAACTGACTTTCCGGTGTCTAAATGCTCACAAAGTCCGTCAACGATTTACTATTTTTAGGATCCTATCGATTTAATCTAAAAATTTTTTCATTAAAACAAAGTACTCAGAAAACAAAAACGTATGACAATTCTGTAGATGATTCTAGCAACAGATGTGAGCTGCTCAGTTCCAGGAAGCATCACCCGTTCTCAGGGAAGTGTTATGTCCATCTTTTTTATCTTTTGGCACGCCTGGGCAGCCCGTATATGGCGGTTCTGTTGCACTTGTCCATGTTGGGTTTCATGGTCTAAGTTGATGAGGATGATTGACCAGGTCTCTTACTTAAGAGGACCCCAAATCTCATTGTAGATGGTTGTGAGCCACCATGTGGTGGCTGGGAATTGAACTCAGGACCTCTGGAAGAGCAGCCAGTGCTCTTAACCGCTGAGGGCTGGAGAGATGGCTCAGCTCTTAAAGGTTAGGCTCACAACCAAAGATAAGAGTTCGGTTATATCGGTCTAGCTCCTTAAAAATAAATGTGTGTGTGTATGGGGGAGGTGGTCAGGCACC